GAGGATAGGTTATATTGAATTTTCATTGTAAACAACTTAAAACATCTTGTCAACAGACTGTGACACTGAGGTATTAAACTACGGAATACCAGACACTTATTTTTCCACATAATTTCCACAGGCTTTGACATTTGAGCCATAGTCTCACAAAAAAAACAAAAAAACCAAAAGAGAAATCTGTTATAATAATGAGGGGAGATCTACTTTTGCTTTTGGTATTATGAACATGTTTTACCTTTAATAAGAGAAAGGTTTCCTGATTTAGATTAGGAAATATCTGATCAAATAATAAGTAAACAAATCTAAGAATATGACCAAACATCAGTTGATACTGGATACAAGTTTCAGTACTTAATACTATGGAGGCATTTCGGTTGGTACTCAAAAGTTATTGAGGTTATTGAGGATACCCAGACCATACTCATACTTAGATATATAATCCTAATCTACATAACCCAATATCAACCTAATTTGCAGTATAGCAATGCATTCGAGTGCTGTCAAGATAAAGTAACAAGTTTTCTCACTTGCTATGCAGTACTCTCAAATGAAATTGATGTGCCATCTCATAAACTAAAGTGGAGAGGGCAGAAAATTGGAAAGTCAAGAGAGCGGCATGGCAGTCCTTGACCTTCATTCCCTCTACTTGTTTCTCCTCTCCTCTCCTCTCCTCTCGTCTTCTCCTCTCTCATTCTTGAATATTCTTGTGACCACTTCTTGAACAGTTCAGCGCTTCATGAACTTCATGCCTGCTGTATTGACCAGTGGCTTGGTTTAGGTGAAATCATCTAGGAGAATTTCCATTTTGTATTTAGAAGCTTTTTCTGTCTGAACTCTCTGCTAGAGCACGTATGAGTCTCAAACTTTTTTGATTTATAGCATCAATATTGCCAACCCTGGTTTCTGTCAGTCCATCATGCATTTTCTATTAAGATTGTTTGTGTTCACTTTTGAGTCAGAAGTTAAATGTGAGTTTGAAGTGGGCCCCTTATTCGATTAACAGAGGCTTCGCAGACAAAATATAGACCCCAGATAAATCCTCTCTGAACTCACAGGTATTTTCGATCTCTCCTAATGCTGATGTGACTGTATTGAGCTGTGAGACTCTGACACCATTCATCTTAGCGGCTTTTCTTTTAATTACTGCTCTCCCGTGGGAGCCAGCCGGGTAGTTAAACAGAGAAATCAGCATTACAGCAATTATTGGCTCACAATGAAATGAATACAATCTTGTCATCTGTAATCATTGGGGGCGTCTATGCCTGGGAGAAAACAGCTTCTCCTTTCTTTTTCTCAGTGAGGGGAGGGAGGGTGTATTACATGGTTGCAAAGGGGATCGTGGTCTGCCTCAGCTGACCAAGGTATCTATTCAGTGCTGAATGTCAGGGTTCAAGGCCATCTCCTATCTATCGCTCTGTCTCCAATCTATTTTCAGTCTCTATTGTATGTTATGGAATAAGCCTGAGAATAATGTTTAGATAACAGTCATGGGAAAAACTCTTTCACATGAAGTAGAGTGTGTGCAGTGATTGTTAATGATGCTGTAAAGGTTGAAATCTCAGTATTTCTAGGGTGAGGTGTTTATTGTGAAAGTTGTTACTCATTGTGACAAACACAGAGAATTACTATGACAAGTGAGCAGTTCCCTTCAGCTCATGTGTGTTTTTCTTTGTTCTTACAAAACTTAACTGTTTTGGTTAACCTGCAACACTCGCCTGTCGTTCGCACTGTACTTGCTCGCCCAGTTTCGACAAGAGACAGAGTGAACATAGTGGAGCATTTAGCTGCTTAAGAGCCAGATATTTCAGTTAGAAAAAGGGACATTGTACGTTAAAGGATAATGTAATAATAATAAGAAAAGCCTGAATTTTGCTGATGTTCCTGGACTCAACAGTTCCATGACACGTCGTTGTTATTGAATATTTTCCACGGCTGGCTGTTCTGTCAGACACCTTGTCAATGAGGCTTATGATCGTTCACCTTATTCTCTTCTGAGCACTGCTTTGCCTGTGGCTGTAATGCAAATAAGTAAAATTAGTTGTTAAACTTTCAAATCTATTGGCCACTTTTATAACCTTCATGCACTGTGCACAGGGAAAGTCAAGTGATCGTGCTTCATATACAGTGCTACACATTCAGACCCTGGGTACTTCTCTGTATAATCATGATCATCTGTTGGTTGCCCAACTTAAGGGTTAGGTGGTCAAGTCTCTTGCTTCAAGGGAACACAGACAGTAGCTCATGAAAGGAGGAAAGAATTACTAATTTAGTGTACCCAGCTTCCACAGGGATTTGATCTTTTGGTTATAAGCTAGTGTGACTACTTGACTTACTCTTGACTTACTTAGCTCTTTTCTGTCCCGACAAACTCTGCAAGACTCTTTGTAAACGTCATCAAACATATAGAGTCCACATCAGAGGTTTAATCTTTAATCTTGTGTTATATTCCCCTCATGTAGTAATTCTTAGCTAATATGTTGTGTATGTTTCTCCCCTGCAGCTACAGAGCGATCTGGACCAGGAGTACCAGGACAAATTTCGCCGGCTACCCGTGGAGATCCAAGAATTTGTCCAGGACAGCAGCAAGGTCAAGCCTAGCGACGATGGTGTCCATGGAAACCTTGTTGCTTCCTCAACAACAGAGAAGCTCAACCACAAAGCGTCGCAGTCAGAGGACGACATGGAAGAGGGCTCGTCGGAACGAGTGTACGACACACCCCTTTAAAGATTTGACCTCGCCGCTTTGCTTCACACTGGGACACTGATTGGTGGATGTGTTTGTGACCACAGATCTATGATGAGACTGCCCCAACTTTGGTCCTAATTTTAACCAATGGGAGGATTAGATCAAATCTGAGCCTGAATTGGTGAGTAGAGGTCCTCTCTACGTAGAGTGCAGTCTTGTCCAGAAAACCATTTCATGTAAATAGTACTTTTTGTGTATTTGTATGTTACCTGTATGTTGTCGTCTCTTTCGGTACGGCCACAGGATGTGTTACAAAGCACTAACTATTTGCAGGAAATAATTTACTTGAACTATTGCACAGAGAGAGTAGTTTCTTTTTATTATTTTTATTATCATGATATTGACAGTAGTAGTGGTCAGTGAGGTGTGTGGTGCCAAGGTTTTGAATTCACTTACAGTGGACATTGTCTTTTAAATGGAGTCAACTTGTACTGTAAAGAAACCACTGCATATTCAGCCTTTAAATCTTCCATCTTTATAAGATTTAGATTCACCCTTCCATGTTTGCACTGAAAGCTCACTACGTAACTGTAACTCTTATACTTTAACCCAGAGGCACTGGTGGCTTGCTGGTTCTCGATTTTGTTCTCACAGAACTAAGCCTATGTGTTGCTGCTATTTTGTTTTAAAACCATAATTTTTTAACCATTATTTGGTTTGTATAATATTTGGCATGGTAATATTATGCACTGCTCTGTTATTCTTTTTTTTATAGCTAGTTTTTACATTGTTTGTGGGCAGTTCTGCCCGGAGACCCAGAGAGGAAGTGAAGGGAAATTGTGCTGTACAGTATCTGCATGTATTTGAACAACTGTAAATGTTACAGTAGCTCTGTAGCAGAGATGTTAATTAAATGTAAATCTATTTTCTCTGAACATTTAAACTAAACCTGCAAAACAGTCGACCCAGTGTGGCTTGATATGTCACTTTGGCTGAACGGGACTAAAATAAGTAACAACACACCTTTCTCTTAGATCCAACATTAGCTGGCTCCAGTTAACAAGTGGCTCATTGTATTCTTTACCTTTGTCCCCTTGAACTTAAACTGTCAAACCAGGGCATTCAAACAGAGGAAGAGGATCCTGCTGTAGTTTTATAGAAGTGGCCTTCCTCTTAACTGGTTCACTGTGTACCTACAGGGGAATGTGTGTGTGCAGTGTCACAGTACACAGAGCAGATTTACGGGACAACAGGAAATATGTCACCCACTGGCATTATTTTCAGTATTCACCCACAATTATTAGCTGTAGTTTGAAGTGGGGAAATAGTTCAGTTATTTCGAAGCAGACCCCAAACGCTCATTTTATATCTGCAGAACACCAGCGTTAACTTGATCTCATGAATAACTGAGCTAATTCCTCTTTAACAACTGTGCCCATTCAGTTACCATAAGGAAGTGTTTTTTTTTTTACTTCCACACTGTCCTGTGCCATTTAACTCATGGGTGTGTCATTTGATATCATATCATGTATCAGCTGATTTTCCTTTAAAAAAATGTTGAAAGTGAAGGATTACCTGACATGTAAGTACAAACTACTTTTTAAAAAGATGATATTGATGTGAGAGTCCTGTGCCTTTGAATAGGTTTGCCTTGTTTGATGTTGAATGTGTGAAATGCATCATTGTTTAAATTGCCATTATATTATATTATATGAAGCTGTCTGATATTGAATAGACCGTGTGCACTTTTTAGTACAGTACCACTACTGAGTAATGCTTGTGATGAGCAGTATTTGACATGTGTCTCATAAAAAATGCGAGACATCCTTCTTTTATGTCTTGAACCACTTTATTTAACAGTCCCCCTCCTTCTCATCAAATTAAGTGTATGCACTCTGGAAATGTAAATGTATGTATGACATAAAGGATAAAACATGAAGTTGATTAAAAAAAAATATATAGTGTAAAGGGAATTTGCCTGTAATTAAAATAAATGTGGCTATTATTGTACTTTGCTGGAGTGGAGTTGTGTGACTTTTAATTTGTCATTGGGCAACCCAATATTGTGTTTTGATTTTTGTTGTTACAGCTAAACTTTTATGACTGTGGATGTGATATATTTTTAATTTGCTGTTATTCATTCATCATTTTATGTTTTTTATTTCCTGAGCTTTTCCATCAGCCTCTTGTATTCAGTAATCAAATAGTTCCTTTGTAGATCTATCATCTTATCATTTTTTATCCAGTCTGTAATTATGGGTTGTTTGCATTTTGTTTGCCCTCAAATGTGTCACTTGTCATTGTCTTGCCATGGCTTATTGTTTTACTTGAAATAGAGATTTCATTGTTAACCCACAGTCTTTGCAACAAGACAAAGACTAGATAATAATGATGGAAAAAGAGAATGAGAGAGTACAGCAGAGAAGCTTGAAAAATGTGTATAACAGAACTGCAGGAAGCAGGCAACGTGTGAAACAATGATCCAAACCATAGAGAGTGTGTTTGGAAGCATCTGTGGGTGGAGTGGGCATGTATGTAATGTATGCACCGTGTGCATGTTGGTGTGTGTATGTATGTCACACTCAGGGGCAGGGGGAAGTGGGGAGAAATCCTTGATGACCTACTTCCTATCATCTCCTAGGTAACAATATCTTTGAAATAACCCTGAGAGGAACATGAATTCGAGCATTTCCATGATTGACTAACTGGCTGCCACCAAAAGATGCACTGAAATCAAGCAGAATTGTTAGTAATTATGCAAATCTGCTGTTATTGGTCAATATGCAGCTGTGTCATAACTAAACAAGTGAGAATACATAGTATGTGCACACGCATGTATATGCTCGTGGGCATGTTTGTATTCTGCACCCTGTGCCAGCTTTCCTGTACTGAAAAATTCTAGTGAATCACTGTATTTCAACTGAAAAATCCACTTCAGCTACTGTTGCATTTCACATTGATTGGCATCAGACTGTGGAAGGGAATATTACTGTGTGCACTGAGTGTGTTTTCTGCCACAGTAATATTTAACTATTTCTCTTGATCTCTCTCTCTGATAACATTTTTTTTTACTCTTGACCACATTCTCAAAGCTTGTTACCCATTATGTGAGTGTTGGTAGCATGTGTCTGGAGTTTTCTGTGTGTGAGCTTGCTATATGTCTGTGTATGTCTGTGCTCAGAGCTTGTGTCCATGTGCGTGTGAAGTTTCAGCTGTATGTACTACATATGTGCGTGCTTGTTAGTGTGTGTGTGTGTGTGTGTGTGTGTGTGTTTTCCAGACTTCATAAACACTATGTCCTTCTCAGTCTCAGCTCCTCAGCAGAATCCCAACAGGCAACAGGAGATAAGACAAGCCTGGTCGCCCATAACAACCACTGTGACCATTCAGAGGCCTCCATGCATAGCAGCAACTAGGAAGTGAGCTAATTAACCCCGAGTTCAGGACGGAAGGAGAGCGGCTTTTTAATAAGATTCTCTGGGTTATATAAACAGTGACGCCCCTCCAAATTCCCAGGAATATTATCACCCTGCGTCTGTCCATCTGCTGCGGGGATGAGGAGGAGGAGGTGTCCTGTAACTGGGCTTTAATGAGGCACACCAGGACAGCAGAAGAGGAGAGGACCACAGGGTGCTGTTTAGAAGGTACACTGAGCAGACACACACATACAGAGATAGACACATAAACACACAGAGACATGTAGAGCACTACCTGAAGAGATCTTCACTGACTAAATTAAATTCTAACTCTCTTCACTTTCCCTCGAATATCATAATCCTAAACCTTGAAGTAATTTTAACACTAAACCTAACTCTCATCTACCCTGGATCACATTCTGATTGTAATTCTAGTATTATCCCTAAGACCATGTCCTCAATTCTAAAATGTACCCTTTAAATAGATGTGGAAAGGCACAGTGCCCTTGCTTTGCAGGGTTTTTCTCACCAGTTGTTCCATCACATCTTTTTTAAACCATTTAGTCCTCAAAGCTCAGAAACCCTGCTAATGTTACAGCAGTTATTGTTGCTTATGTATTCTCTGGCACATCAGTTTGGAAATTGTGATTGACTTTTAATGAAGATCCCCACTGATTTTAGTGTATTAGTATATTAGTTAGCATCATGGGTGGTACTACTTGACCTGTCAGAATAGTTGTATGATGTCCTCTGTGGCTGAAGAGTTTTCTCAAGTCGGAGAAAATATCCTGATGATGATGATGATGTCATTAGTGTTACCTTATAAACTGCAGGCACACACTTTGTAATGTGGGGTGTGAGTTGCATTATGGAAACTGTGGGATCAAGTATTTTTGGAGCTTAACCTTGACTAAAAGTCAGGATATCTTCATCTCTGCTGCATCTGTTTTGACCTTTCCTGTTTTTATCTGTCTCTCAGTTCCCGGTATCCCGGGAAAGTCCTTTTAAATTACAACGTTTTAACATTTTCCAGAGATGATGGAGTATTTCATTCAAGCTCCCCAAAGACCTTGTCCTGTCATTTTACACTGGCAGCAATATTTAATGTGCATCTCCTGTTGCTGATTTGCCCCCAAAATCTATCACATCAACAGTTATATAGCAACAAAAAATGGATGATTTATTTTTCTGTGATCTATATGGAGAAACTAAATTGAGAAAAATCCTTGAAAGGACTTTATTTTCATATAAATGATTTGATTCAGATTGTGGTTATGAAATGAGTGTCATAAAGATTCATGTCATTCTAAAAAGATTGGTAAACTCTATTTCACAAAACAAATCTTGAACAGCATATCTGCAATATACAAAGTGATGCCATCGATAGAAATAAATGTGCAATAAACTCACTGCTGTGCTCTGCAGTCAGACACACGGTAGCGTCTATAAGAAAAACAGTGCAGCAATACTGTGGCTTTACAAAAGGAGGAAGGGGAGCCAGTGTTTGTCTTTATCAACGCATGGCGGCTACAGTAGTCAGCTGTTAGAAGAGCAGGGAGGAGCTGGATCTGGTTCTGCTGGATGACTCACTCTGTCAACCCAAGGCACTCTCATTCACTCATTTGCACACACTCTTATACACACACGCACACACACTAACGCGCGCGCACGCAGAAAATTCACGCGCAGGCACGTTTATTGGTGGTGGTGGTGGTGGTGGGGAGGGGGGCGCGCGCCGCCGAGTTAAAGAGGGGTTCCTAATCAAAGCGCATCAGGGCCGTTCATTCTCCACTGGAGGGCGAGTGGTACAAGAGCACCGGGACACTCCGGCAGCAGGGAGACAGAGCAGACAGTCGGAGGGAGACGGGATAGAGCAGCAGCAGCTGGAAGACACAGACACATAGAGAAAATCCCGACCCGGACTCTGCAAAGCATCATTTCTTACCGCCGTCGGATTAAACCCGTCCCCGTCTCCAACACCCAAATCACGTAAGAAACAAACATAAAGCTATTTGAAATATCTCTCATTACTGCTAACGGCGGAATATTCAGAGTTACTGTGCTGAGTGCTCCGTTAAACGTAGACCAGGCTGTGTTGAATGTAACGTGTTTAGCTGTGAGACCGATGCTGTGGGAGCAGGACCTTTCATTTAAACTCCATCACGCTAGCTTCCAAAGGCTCACGCCAAATCCTGCTCGCATCATTCAGATATCACACATCCTCTCTCTGTCACACACATACACAGATCCACACAGCTGGAGACAGTAGCCTTTGCTAGCTAGCTAGCCAGACGCATTGTAATGGACCTTTAGCATTTGAAAGCGAATTTACTCTCGCTTTGCTCGGCGCTGTGGCTTGCCTTCCAGGTAAATACGATACATGTAAGAGCAGCTGCGGCTTGAAAACTTGATGAAATGCAGGGGTTATTGATGTTTCCGACGGCTGGGAGGCTAGCCAGTGGAGCTAGCTGTAGCGGGACAGAGCACAAGCCAGCCGGCCGATGACAGGCACACTGCACATAAAAGTCAACGGACAAACCGACACAGACTGCCTTCTTCTTATATCTGCACAGGTGTATGTACATGATTCACTTCTCAGTAATATTTACATCCAATTGACTTGCCAGATAATTTTAGTTAATTTAATACGTTGCATCCAAAGACTGCTGCTGCTAGTCAGATAGGCAGGTCACTGAGTCTGGGAGCTGCAGCTCCCATGTATACACCCCAGACAGCAAGGTGTCATTGATTCACAGAAATTTCTCTTGCAGAAAGTGTGTTTGAGTCTGTTTTTCATGTGTCTTCAGTGTCATATCAATGGTCAGTAAGATGGCAAAATAAACATAATATTTTTGATTTATTTGTCAAAATTGTTTTCAGTTTATTCACCCCACATGGATGTTGAATATTAGATTTCAGTGTTGATGCCTTGACATTGATTCTAGGTTAAATCAATGTCAGTTTGCTGTCATCTATTTTTATTGAGCGGAAGATACATATATACATATATATATATATATATATGAGAGTGGCTTTCTTATGCTTTAGAGCAAAATGACAGTGTTGCTTAGTTTGACATCCATTCAGACAACAGGTTTCTATTTTCATAACCTGTTTTATCACATAAACCCAGGAGGCAGGGAGTGTTATTTGTTCAGGAATAACCTGTAGGCTTATTTGCGGTTCAAATAGCCCATAATGTTTTATTTTGTTCAAAGTTTGGCTTAGGTTGTCTGCCTCAAATTAATTGATGAATGAGTGTAGTGCCTCAACAAACTTGTTGCATCAGCTATTCCACCTGTTCACACAGACATGCTCTGTCCACTTATACATTGTGAGGCATGAGCTGTATTTGCTGAGGAACCCTTTCTTCTTGTAAAATGCATCACAGGTGTGTTATAGTCTATTGTTAATGTTGTTTGGCCACTGTATCTTATCTCAACCGGCTTTTGGACGTGGTTGTCTCCCACCCTCCTTCTCTCAAAGTTTGTCCTCTGTTGGCCATGAAAGATCGCCACCATTATGTAAAGAAAAACAAATTCTGCCTTGTTCTTATTGACATTGCTGCATAAACGTTTCACTGGTGATTACAGAGGCAAACATTACCCTCCCTCACACAATAACAATCCCTTACCTGTGGCTTAAGCCCAGACCGTGAAGCATTTTGATGAATAGAGGTGTACTAAGAAGCTTAAAGGCTAACTGAGGGTGTGCAGGTGTTTTTTTTGTTTGTTTTGTTTTGTTTTTTTTTTTGTTTTTTTATTAATTTCTTTTTTTGGACCAGATGACATTGTATGTGTCACGTCTTTGGTGCACTCTGTGGTCAGTAATTTTGATAGAAAATTCTGGTTATTTTCAGGAGGTGCTGCACACGACGGTGCTATCCTTCCGTATGTTTATTTGGTAATAGGATGGCAGCATGATTACGGCTTTAATAATTATCCCCATCTATTTTTTTCAAATACTGCACTGTGATCATGATTATCACCTGCTATTATTAGCTTTAATGTTCTGTGGACCAAAATTTTTACATCGTATGATGCCTTTTCATTATCATGCTGGAAAACGACCATTAAGTTCCTAATTAAATGTCATTGTGGTATCGCTGATATTCTGTATTATTCGATTATTCTGATTTTGTGAGCACTGACTGATTGAATATTTGAGAGTTTGCCGTGCTAATTTTGATATGCAGTTCGCTTTAAGAAATTAATTCTTTCCCTCAAACTTGCCAGTCCCCGTCTCGTAGCTGTAACCACAGATACAGTGAGGCTGGTCTCTGTTTTGTTCTAAACTGAGTGAAATCACCCTAGCGTGTCCTGCTTGAAATGTATAGCATGTATTTTGCGCTGTGCGATGTAGGTGGTGAGGGTGCAATTTAATTTACTGTTCAGAATTGGATGGCTTGAAGGTACATTGAGTATTTTTTTTCAATATCTTTGTGCATTTAGCCAGACAGAATAACAATATCTTTGTTTTGAGTCACAGACAGGCTAACTACAAAACTAGATTTTGACTCTTGGATGAAAAAGACAGTGTATAATGGAAAGTAAAACAACATCTCGACATCCTGGCACACACAGAAATTGCTTTTCAGGGTTCACAAATGTGAAAGTGTTGCAGCCACAGATATTAGGGTGATTAGGCTATGAAATGTGTCTAAGGCACACATTTCCCAGTGTTGTCTTTTGGGATTCCTCTAGTCTGTGGTAAGACTGAATGTAGCTGTAGGGCTTGGTCCAAACAGCAATGAAGTGAGAAAATCTCTTTTTCTCTGTTTGTATGTTTTCACAGTAGCATACTTGCCAACAGCATATTGAATTCCTTGAAGGTTGTTGGAGGTTTATTCCAGTGGGACTTCAGTTGGAATCCATCCCTCTGCCTGCCAGTTCACTGTACATCTCGATTGCTTGATTGCTTGTGCTCATTTGCTCGTTTGCTCGTTTCCTCTCTTTATTTATTCTTGTGCTGCTTTTTTTTTTTTTTTTTTTTTTTTTTTTTTTTTAATTAGATGTGCCTGGTCTTGATTAGCTTGGGTGTCTCCAGTTCTATTTGTTTGTTTTGATGGGGCTATCAGGTTTTTATCACAGTGCAGTTTCTTCTCACAGCAGCCATGAGAAAGCTGTCAGTCATCCTCATGGATGTTTTAAAGCCTCACAGAGAGATGTGTGAACGTGGCAGTGCAGACAGACAGACAGACAGACAGACAGACGGACCGGCACTCCAACTGACAGGCCCAATGTTGTGGTAGTATGTTAAAAACATGTTGAATCACACCCCTCGACATGTCTGCGTCTATTGTTAAAATCTGACGAGCTATGGCTGTTTTCCTTGGCAGCGTAGCAGTACAGGGATGTGGTGTGTGCTCATCTCTCTGTGTGGTTCTGTCTCGGCTCCTGTTCTTCCAACTCTATAACAGGGTTTTAGACATCAGCCAAATAAGTCCAGATTCAGGTCTCTGTGATTTATGAAATTCTCTCTCCTTCTTACCGTATGTCCTTTTTTGTCTCTGCAGGCCAAGACATGAGCTTCTCCCGCTGAACCTTATTGATGCTGAACTGGTGAGTTTTGGTTTTGTTCACTGCCAGAGATCACTGCAGCAATACACATTTTTTCCTTGTGTTATTTTTATTCAGTCCCTGTTAGGTTCTGCCTAACAGAACTTGCGGTTAGTAACCATCTGGTAGCAATTGGTGAAAAGGCTCTCTTCCTAGAATTTAGTGTAACTCAACAAAGCAACCTCTTCAATATTAGTTTCCTTTTTTCCAGAGCATCCAGTTCATGATTGCATATTAATAACCTAATCTGCATTAAGTTAATTGATTAAAGTGTATGCATAATGTGTGTGAAACATATGGCCTTATCCTGCCTGTAGGCCCACCTGACAAGTTATGTAATCGGGATGTCTCGGCGTGTAATCTAATGTGTTCCTGAATGCACAAAAACCAAGGGGGGAATTAAAAAAAACAACAAACCAACAAGAGGAGGAGGAGTGATGAGGATTTTGCGTCTAAGATATAACACAGATATGCACTTATTTTGTCTTCTTGTTATTCTGTCCTTGAGGCTTCATTAGAGAATACAAATACTTGTTCCTCTAAAGTATTCAACATTGCAAACAAGTTGCATTGAGAGCTGCCAAGGCGTTTTATTGGATTAGTGCTGAATGATGAAAGCAAGAGGCCTCATATTTCATTCTATGGTTCATACAAAACTGATGCGCAGGGTTCGTCCATCCATGGCCTGACATCACTCACTGATAAGCAGGTTGCGTGGCTGCTGCCGCTGCTTTGTGCTCCCTCCTGCCAAGCTAGAAACTGTAATGCGGCTGAGAGGTGATTGCTCTCTTTAATATGTTCTGTATTAATGATGTAATCTGTATTAATGATGTAATATGTAGTGTGAAGGCTGTCTGTCAGCTGGGCCTGATTAATTTTCATATGCTTTAAGCTTTATTTTTGTAGAAGTGAGAGGTATACATTTTCATTATCCCTAAATTACATTTGCTTCATTGCAAGTACTTCAGCATATGATGTATGACGATTAAATTGTTTCAGAAAACAGAAGATGAGTGGATTTGTTTTGGTTAACACAAGTTTTGTTTAATAGTTTAAATCCTACTAGTGACCAACTTGCAAGTTTTGATGTAGCAAGAATACTGTTTCAATAACGATAAATTACAAGGCCAATGGCAAAAACAAGGCACATGGAGACTCCAAAATTGTAAACTGGTTTTAAAATATAAAGCATCACCTGTTTACATTTACCCATTTTTGCTTGTCACTGTAGTCTATGATTCCCACATACCACAGGACTCTTAACACGTATCAGTTTGTGAACTTCAAACATGTGTATATGACTTTTCACTTCACCAGGTCAAGTTAAGTCAAATCAAGTCAATTTTTTTATTTGTATAACACCAAATCACAACAGAACTTATCTCAAGGCACAAATAGAGCAGGTCTAGACCACACCCTTTATAATATCAATTACAGAGACCCAATAATTCCCACCATGAGCAAGCACTATGTCATCGGTCCTGATAAGCCTTTAATCAGGGGCTGCCCACTTTTTATGGGCTGTTATTTCTTGGCCCAAAATTCTGTAGTGCTTGTTAAGCCTAAGATCCATTTAACATGAGAAGAAGCATGCACTCTAACACTTGAAGTTCCTTCCATTTTGTCCTAATATGGTTGCATATTAGCATTGAAATAAGAGAAGGGAACACAGATTCCCTCTTCGTAGTCAATGAGGGATAAAATGGTGCACAGCAGATCTGGTTCGTGTGTCTCAGTTTTGTGGTCATGGTTCGCTTCATTTCAGTATGTATTCAATCCTGCAGGAAAAGTGCATTTTGCTCCTGTTAAGATTTAGATTTTTTAACAGAACATGTTAATTACCCAGCTTGTAAAAATGTAAAGTAATGTGAATACATCACAGACACAAAGCTTGAATTACCAATATTGTTTGGATTACATTTAATAGAACTTCCCTTGAGCAATAGGAGTGTTTTTATGTAACGGAGCATTTCTATATAAACTGACATCTGTATGCGTAATGAGAAAAAACAGACAACATTTAAAAGTAACAGTAAAAGACATCAGGCTCATCCCTCGTTAGGGTCAGTGGAGCCTCTGATGAAGCACCTCTATCAGACTCTTCCAAATGTTGAAAACTCTAATGCTGTTAGCAGCAGCAGCACCAATCATACATCAACACTGCCTATACTAGCAGCGACGTCAGCAGCAGCAGAGTCAACATTTAAAATCAATTCCCATTGCAAATGTTTGCATGGATCCAGCACCCTGAAACACTGTCCAACCCTCAGCTGCATTTTCAGACCTTGACATTCATTGAAAATATGGATGTGACAAGTCACTTGAGGCTGCATCCAGGCAGAGGAGGTGTCTCTTTCAAAGGAACTGCATCTTTAAACCTAATCCCGTTGTAGGAATTAAATGGCTGCTCTAAAATGGCAAAACCAAAACAATTTCATCTGCTGAAGAAGCTTGTTTTGTAGTATAAAAAGTGAAGTTACAAATGTTTTCAATCATTGTATCATGTGTGACTGAATATTTGTGCAATTCAGTAATTATGAATATTGTGTTGCTTCAAAGACAAATAACTAGTTGTGATTAAAAGGTTAGAATGTCTACATCTACTTAAACTACACTAAGTAGATTTGATATGGGCTCAGTTTAGAGTCATTCAAGGTGAGCACTTGCATAGACAACTCTCTAAGATACTACATGAAACACCTTATCATTATAGATGTGCATACAACTGAAAGGCTCACTAAATCCCAGTGTCACCCTGTGCACTCACACGCTCTTCAAACACAACATAGCTGATCAAAAACTGGCCTCAACCCTTACTTGTCCAGATGTTACAGATTAATATGCAAGTGCACTGTTTGCTGCTTAAAGAAAGTGAGAGATCAGTGATGAGAGAGTGTGTCTTCACTACAAGGGTAAGTGTGGCTGGAGGGTGAATATAATGACAGGGGTATTCTCTGCAGACTCTCAGACAGCAGCACAGAGACAGAGAGAGAGAGAGATGAGGAGTGAAAGCAAAGCGGACAGTAAGAGAGGGAGCCGCTTACTCTCACACCAGCAGATGGGAGCTGCAGTCATCAAGTCAATATTTACTCTTTCTTAACAAAAAATTGGCAGCATTAGCTGAGCTGATTCAGTAGCAGTCAGTGGGAGCTTCCTGGTGAAAGATGCTTTGAGGAGTAAAAACAACACTTCAGTGATGATAATTGTAGCTCGGTTAAACATGTGCCCCCCCCCCCCCCCTCCTTTTTAAACACACACACACACACACACACACACACACACACACTTTACCCGTGCCTCAATCCACTATGGGGATACATGTGAACGCAATTTGCACTTCCAATTAAACTGTCGACCTTCGCTCCAGAATGCAAAACTTGATTTTGTACCATCCTCTCCTGGATAGCTATTATTACCCAGCCCAATAATAGAGAGAAAAAGGCTTTTACAATACACTGACGAGGATCATTGAAGTCAGCAAAATAATTGCTACATTTATTACGTTGTCAGTGTTTGAGGGGGGAGATTAAGAAACCTTTAAAGACTTTTAACTGTGAACTCTTAAGTATGCATTTTGCATATTGTCAGTTTATTTACTGATTTAATTTTTTTTATTATTATTATATTTTGTTGTTGTTGTAATAAGCCACCAAGTAAAATTAAATCTGTCCTCTGATCACTACACATATAGAGCAGGTTGTGATTTGGGTTTTCCCAGAGCAAAGGCTTCAATAGGCGGAGAAAGAACAGAAAATCAGGGATGGTTGTGGATGAGAAAACTGATTTCAGTTACATATATAAGCATTTCATCAGCAATATAAAACCAGTGAGCTTCAAATGTGTCAAATGCAAAGAGGTCTTGAAGTCCTCTTCAGTCGTTATACTATTTTCCAAGAAGGACTCCAGTGCGATTCAGATGGGAAAAGGCTTGTTCATATTATGATAGGGAGCAGTGTGAAAGAATGAGCTGAGACGCTGAAAACAGCAGAATACATAAGGCTAGGGTTAGCCTAAAGCATGCCGCCGAGCCTCTGACACAGCTCCAACACATGACTCGCTGGCCAGATCAGATGACTAGATAAACAGCAGGAATGTTGCTTCTTCCTCTTTCTACAGCACTGCTCTTGTCTGGCTGGGAAAGGAGGGAGAGATGTGCGTGCGTGCGTGTGTATGTGTGTGTGTATATATACAGTATGTGCCAGAAGAGCATCTTTAATCAGCCCACTACTGTACGAGATAACAAGTCCAAGCAATTATGTAACATTTAGCAGCTGAGCTTATCACTTATCCTGCTCAGCTAAGTTGAAATGCAGAATACAGAGCACAGCACAATTGTTTCTATTTTATTATTGACTTACATAATCTAATGGCTGTGAGGGAATGCCTGGTTTTATGCAGATATCCCAGAGTGGAACAGCATGAAGAATTTAATATGGGGCTAATTTATGTCTTTTTATTTGTTTTTATGTATTGAGAAACAAAGTGGATTTTAATGGCATTTTTGTCAAACGTTGTCAACTCATAAAATGCAAAATGCTCCCTGAACTCTGGGGTTGAGGGAAACAAATTTTAGGCTGATTATAAACACAGAGTATAATGGGCAAACAGTTCCCTCACAGGGATTTCCGACCAGTGCCAGATATTTGTCAAAGCCACTTCTCGCATGTCATTTAAACAAACCTCTGGGCTGAGCACATAAATCCATTAGATGGCTATCATAACAAACTGTGGAAGTAATGTAAAGTTTATAAAAATGTCACAATCAAAGCACATCATAAGAGGAGTGTTGTAAATCTTCTTTTGGCAAATGCAGGGAGACATTTTTTTTTCCTAAATGACACTATTATACCACATGAGGAAGAATAGGAAATTACACATACTGTGTATAGATCATATTATATATACAGTTTTTTCAAGCTGCACTTACTTAATCCTGACGACAGTTGCTCAGGGAAAAGCAGCTTTCAACTTCCTTTGTCTCTATGCCCCATTAGTAACTCCTTTTTGCTTTCCAGTGACCTCATCCGCTTTATAGACTGTACTGAGAATGTGTGACTTGAGAAATGCCATCAGGCCTTGTATAAAGCAGTGAAGTTAAAGAACAGAAAATAATGGCTGAAATAAACAGGAATGAGAGGCCTAAAGTGGCCACTCATACATAACAGCTGTTGTGTATTTCACAAAGAGGTGGTTGATCGTTTCACAACACAGTTTTCGTGGCTCAGTTAAAATGGACTCAATCAATTTGTGTATACAAACCCCACCGATGCTAGAGTTTAAATCAATAATAAGAAGGAAAATAGTATGATTGGTTTTATTGTACTATAGCACACTGACAAGAACTGTTGTAGTTATTTTAACCTGAGGAATTAAAAGCTGCTTTCAGACATGATCATGATTTATATGTCAATTTCAGGTTTGAATAAGCCCACGTCACTTTTCTGCAAAAATCATGACGACAATTTTACAAGGTCAAAGCAAAGGTTTTTTCCCCACAGAAAATGTTTAAAGCCACAATAATCATTAGGTCTCCATCCCTAAAGATGAAATTTTCCTCACTTCCAACTGTTCAGAGTATGAATACCCAGCGTAACGCTTGAACTCAAATCGTATGATTGGAGACACGAATGGCGACACACACGGTTATCGTGGTCACAACAAGCGTGGTTTAATACAACAGCAAACACTCCCTGAGTAGCTACTTTGTCGGATAAACAACCAGAAGAGCAACTCGTGTAAGTGTTTACAGTGTAGCCAATGTTTTAATAAAGCGGTCACTCAAAAATAATTGCGACTGCAATCTGATTCCAAGCTGTGCATGGTGTAAGGAGTTGGGGGTGACGCCTGCAACTCTTCAGTTTCATGGAACAGGAAGGAGCAGCCACAGTGAGCTGCTCCTTCTTGTTCACTATTCCCTTGCAAAAATTTAAAAAAAAAATTGTCTGATGCAAAATGCCAAAAATGTGGGTCTTGTTTTGTAGATGCATTTTTGATGAATGATTGCGGTCAGAGCTAACTTTAGTGACAAATACATTGCTTTTTTTAATGCCTGTCTGCAGAATAAAAGCCACCCTGTGTTTCACCAGTTAAATACATTTAATGTACACTACTTTGCATTAGCAGTCGCTTCATACAGTTCTCATACGGCAGCGGGAGAGTGAACAGTAAACAGTGCGGCGGTTATCAATGAGGTAAAATTAAAAACAGTAAAGCTTAATTACATGCATCCCCCGTTTCCTGTGAACCTCTCAGACATAGGTAGGCAATTTGAATCCAGCAGAGGAACGGCAGCCCTTAGCCATTAACAATGAGCATTCATTTACTGTTTTATAGTGGTAATTACAGAATGTAGATACACTGAATGACTTTTGCTGAATAAGTGCAGACCATATATAGCATCAAGAACTGGGTTTGATTTATATATATATATATATTTTTTTTATGATATTCAGGATTATTACAGTATAGCATGTGAGCAAATACAAATTAAATACATGACACAAACTAAAATCAGCCTTAAAAAAAAGTGATAACAGTTTTTTTTTTGTTTTTTTTTCTTTGCATCATTCCAACTCACCAGCAGCGCCACGGTCTCTGTCACAAATCAGATGCCAAATATCATGTATGGGTTACACTTTTCACCTGCAATAATAATGTCATGTTTGAGTAGACTTATGATTCAATATTAAGTTTGACAGCCAAATTGGCATTACTTAAACATGTAGATGAATGCAATGTTACACATTTCATCTCTGAAAAGGGCTGAAGTAACTCCGCTCTCTGCAGAGCTTTCATTCATACAGTATTTCATGTCACACTAGCACAAATTATGCTGTAAAATAGTTATTGCTATCAGTATAAGTTGAGGTTGAGGTTGAATGGTTTTCTATCATTGGAAGAAAAGACCTTATCCCTGTGACAGTGGCCGTGGATCCTGTACTCCATCACTGCTAATGTAATCCACTAATTAGCCATCACAATGGTGGAAGGGGAGAAGTGTTCTGTGTGTGTGTGTGTGTGTGAAGAAAGACCCAGACCTAATTTTGTCCTTGTTATTAAAGACATTCGTCCATCATTCTCCAAGGCAAAAGGAGTGATGTTCTCTCTGTGTTCTCTCTCTGACTCACTAAGTAGAAAAACTCTCCTCTCACCTTTTCTCCCTGCCTGGATTTTACTCTCTCTGGCTGTCTCTCTCTCTTTTCTGGCCCTCAGGGAGCTGGCTCCTGACAGCATCATACAGAAAAAGAAAAATTGAAAAGTCAAAGTGTATGTGAAATGTTTTGGTGTGTCTCTTTGTCTGACTGCCTCCCTGTATTCCTCCACCGTTCTCTGCTTCTCTCAGGATGCCTCTCCTTTGTCTTTACCTCCCATTTAAATTTTGCCCACATTCGACTAAGAAGACAGTAAGACAGTGTGCTGTTTCATTCATTCAGTTCAAGTCAGTGCTGGTCTTTTGGTTGGCTTGTAGTTTTAACGTATCTATGAAATAAAATAAGTCATGTATTGTAATGGAGCCACATGTATTTAACATGTTTACACATGAGCAAAAAGAAAAAATAAAATGTTCAGGAAAAACGTAATAGTTCTTCTGTTTCTTCACTAGTCACTACATATTACAGTTACTGCACAGTCAAAGAGTCTGTATATATAATATAAGTTATATTGACCTCCTCCAGCAGCTACAGATTATGTAAAAGGTGTCCAAAAGCAGTGTTCCATAGTACATTTATTTATGAAACATCCAGTTTTGTTCCTGCAGTTCCATCATTTTTTCATGTTCCTCATAGATATAGTGTTAGATTAAACCTCCCTTATTTTTAAGGCTCACTGTTTGAGGTCACTGGCCACCGAATCACTTTCCAATCTGGTGACCCTCCCTCAACCCTCTCAGGAGTCCCACCGCCCTATGGGACACAGCTGCATGAAAAACAGGAGGCGGGGTTTTCTCAGAGTGCTTCTCCAATCAGAGAGTTGGTGTTGTTTGATATCGCCTTCATACTCACTCTCAGAATAGCATTGTAGAAGAGGAAGTTATCTGACATCAGGGACAAAATGAGAACTATCCTCCCAGTACCCTGACAGGTGCTGTTTGTGGCAGCAAAACAGCCAACAGTGAGTCCCACAGAGAGAGCTGTGTGTCAGGCTACGGGATGGGTCGATTTCCTGAGTCGGGGAAGCTGTCAGCTCTTGATCACGCCTAGTCTCTGCTCTTCACATCTAAAATAGCTTATAAGAGACATTTTAGTGGTTACTCACTTTTACATGGCATATGAAAATCCAGTGCGTATATATATATATATATATATATATATATATATATATGTGTGTGTGTGTGTTTATTTTTTAGATGGCACTCTTTGGCTTTACTTTTCTCCTCTGAGTTATGTCACACTTATTTTATAGCCACATTTCTCCTGTATGTGTGTGTGTAAAGGTTTGTGCGTGCATGTATGTTATTTTTAGATCAGACTATTGCAGGTAGCATGGGTAATGTCACTTCCCCTACCATATCCCTCCTGTGATACCTGTGGGAGTGTGTGTGGCTTGCTGTGTTAACAGTGCTGTCCTTTTAATCAGCACCCTTGTGTGTTTCCCCTGTTGAGCTGTCATTGGTTGAGTGATGATGGTAGAGCTGCCACTTTTACACCATTTAAATCCTCTGGCAGGCAGGGGTGAGATTACCAGCCTCTTACCTGTTGCCCTAATCAAAGGAATTATTGCCGCTCCGCTGGATGTTACTTGGAATAGTACCTGCTAAAAATACACACATACTCGAAACACACACGCAGAAAGGGCAGAGGGAGAAAGATCAGGTACCAAAGTACATCCAACCTTTGTTTGATATTTTGTCACTAGACTATAGCACTGGTTGCTGGGCGTTTCCATGGTAGCAATCTTGTGCTCTAGTTTTTGAGTTGAAAGTGAACAAGACTTATTTTTAGACTTTATCATTCAATTAAAGTTCACTTCTTTCTTCTCACCGGTCTTCACTCTAAACAGTTTCACACTCTTTGTAAAATTACGCCACAAGAACAAATCAGGGCCTCTTTGTTTTAGAATTGATTTTATATGTTTACCATTACCTCGTTAAGAGATTTCATTACCTTGCTACTTTACAGAGAGTTTAATTCCATATTAGCCTACACAGGGACATCTTAGCTGTCCCACAGTCCAGGCTGAAGACCAAGCCCTGAAGCTATGACCTCCCAGAGGGGACTCTGTTGTCTGTCTATCTGTCTGGACCTTACTGTTGTGTTCTCACCAAAAAGATCAGCATAACATGAAAACTGATCTCTATATATGTGACATGGCTTCCCTTTTTTGGTGCAGAGTGTACCCACTGATCCTCTCCCCTGGCTGAAGAGGCCTGTGAACAGCTCTTGTCTGGTGAGACCACTTGACATGTGGAATATTTGATCCACATAAGCTGCCACTGTGGGAGAGGCCCATCCACATGAAGAGGAGAGAGAGAGAGAGAGAGAGAGAGAGAGAGAGGGAGGGAGAGGGAGAGACAGAGACGGAGAGATAGAAGGCAGATGACACTAAAGACAGAATGGATGTAGCAAGATCAATATTGAGTTGATCAATGGCAAATTACATGTTGAAGACATATTGACTCCTAAAATCAGTTCTTGCTTACAAATTAATTTTTTTTTAAATTGCCCCATGAAGTAAATTGTTTTCTGTGAAAGTCTGTCATCCAAACTATATATAATATTCCACAGGAAGCCCTTGTGGTCCTTTGTGGTTTACAATGGCTACTCATAGTGTCATTTCAATTTCATTCATTACCCTGCTCATTATGATATTATGTGGAGCCCAATTAGTAATCAAGGACCCCTCCTTTGTATTACATAACAGAGTGAGGATTTTCCCTTCACCACTCAGCCTCAGTAATATATTTTATATCCTAGTGGTTGTTTTGGTCTGTATTTGCTTTATGACTTTGTGTTTTATGAGTATGTATGACGCTCAGAGAGCCCAGCATTGCTACAGATGGCTCCCCTGGGAAAGACCCATCATTTAGGAAATGGCCATTACAGGAAGTAATAGGCAGAGAGCTTGTGCAAATGACCAAACAATGGAAATGACAGTGACAGATTTCTCTAGGATAACATCTTTTGCATGGATTGTTGAGCAGCTGGATGGCTGTATTTGTTGCATGTGTGAATACATCTCCAAAATGCCCAGAAATGATATAATTATATTAAAATTAGAATATATAGAGAGAATTTACATTGATATTGTTATATTGTCCGTATGAATATAGTGAATGAGATTACTGTAGAGTAGTGTATGTTACGTTTCATCCTCCTCAGAATGTACCTGGAAGATGTACTGTATAATAGGCCGTCTGCAAAACGGAGCAAAGCAGCCAGTCACAGGAAACATTTATTATTGGTCTCACCAAAATCAACATTAAGAACATAGGATAATACCAGATGTAAATAAAATCTGCAGAACACCAACGTTCCTCACTTAGTTGTTGAAATCTGTCCTGGGCTGTCTGTGCTTATCGGGCAAAGTTTATCTTGCACAGTGATTGTTTAAAGAAACCATTACTGCCACAGTTCCTGTCCTGCACTAGCCAAAGCAAGATGGAGCTGTGACGATGAGGTGAGGAGAGACACAAGCAGAACACAGTCATTGCTAAGTACAGGAAATGTTGAGGAATTTGTCTTGTCTTTGGTGCGGACATAAGGATATAAGATGGCTTGCCAAGAGGAGGATTATCCCTATTTCCATCTATAGTTTTGTTCCTGTTTCTCTCCTCCACTCTGTCTCCGTCTGTCCCTTTGACCCAATCTGCACTTTACATTCATGTTTTATGCTTTTAGCAGACTCTCTTATCCTCATTGACAAACCTACCGTTCAAAGGCTACGGCAGAGCAGATGCTGAGGTGGTGCCATTTATCTTATTTGCCAGCTCATTTCCACCACAATCTCTGACGAAGACAGCCTTTCTTAAGGGAAGCAGCTTCCTATTAAAAGTTTATTTAGCAGAAGCTGGAGGAATGATTAAAATTCTGCACAAGCCAAATAGGATGAGGAGCATGGGTGTGATTACACCCCAGTGTGTCGTGCGCGCAAAAATGCTCGTAGAGGGACGTGTGTTTGTGTGTCACTGTCTTCCCTGGAGGCATCACAAGCATCTGTAATATTACTGTAAGTGTACAAGATGAAGCTGAATAATGAAGTCAGCAGCACACTGGAAATCTGCAAATTGAACTTCACTAATTTCTTTGTTTTTCATCTATCAATCTCTTTCAGAGTGGTCCAGTGCTGTCCTCCAGTGTTTCCCCTCCCCTCAGTTTTCTGTTCCTCTGTCTGTCACCTGGTAAGTACACTCAGATTCACCTCCCACGTACACAGTACAGTACAGAGGCTTGCAGTCTTTTTCAGTCCTTTACGTAATCGTCAGGTCACTGCCTGACATGAACGGCAAATTGCTCTCATCTTTATAAAACAGAGCATCATTTCTTGTTAATGTGATGTGATGTGGTAGTAGAAATGTGGTAGGCGTTCTAGTACACATAGCTGATGAGCATAATGAGTATTAGTGTGCTGTTCTTTTTTCCACTTTGGACAGCTGTATGATCTAGAGACTGTTGGAAAAGTCCAACAGGCGAAAATTCGTGTCGTGAATACACAGTGTCAGAAATCAGAGTGATTAATACATAGCTTAATGAGAAAATATCTAAACAAACAATGCAAAGTTTAAGTTGAACAACATGCTAGGGTAGGGACTCAAACTTTATCAGAATTTCCTGTTGATAGGTCAAAGGTTACTCCTCCACAGGTGGTATTTCACTTTGTTCCTTTTATCTTACCCTCTACTTACTGTTATTCTACCCTCAAAACTGGATAGGTCTGTATGCCTCTCTAAATGATCACAGAGCAGCTTCACAGATCAAATTATGGTACAAATAGCCATTTTCAAATCTCTGTGGCAGACACAGTAATATCGCCAAACAAGAGACATCAGTTGTTGTGTCACTGCAATGCCAGCTGGCCTTGCTTAAATTATTATATATTATAAACAAAGATACAAAGTGCTAAATGCATGAAATAATAACATGTCAAGGTCTTCAGTCTTCACTTTACTAAATCCTGCTGTTTGTATCAGGAAAAGATGAGTTTGATCCTGTACGTTGATTAACAAATATAAAATTAGTAAGGAATAGTTTTCATCCGCTGGTATGATATGTATGATAAGAAATTATCGTATGTTGATCCGTGTAACTTTTTGGGAAATAATCCACTGTATTCACTCTAACGGGGTGTGTCTTAGTGCCAAGGAAACCTGTTGAC